ACATGTATACATTTAAAATCCTTACGGGGCGAGAGTTCTGCATTTTCAGTTTTATGAAACAGAACGAGAGATCCTGTGCTGGGGACAGTTTTGCCTTAGGTCAGTGTTGTCCAAACTTGGCCACTTTAAGATGAGTGGATTTCAACTCCCAGAATTGAAATTGGCCCAATGGCTGGCTGGGGAATTCTGGGAGTTGAAGTCCACTCATCTTAAAGTGGCCAAGTTTGGACAACACTGACCTAAGGCAAAACTGTCCCCAGCACAGGATCTCTCGTTCTGTTTCATAAAACTGAAAATGCAGAACTCTCGCCCCGTAAGGATTTTAAATGTATACATGTATGTGCCTGGGTACCCAAAACCAGCTGAGCCACGTCCATGACTTTAAAACGGATTAAATACTAACAGTGCCTCAGTGGAACATCTGCGGTAAGCAAAGATCCCCAATTCCTCTTAGGGGTCAGAGTTAACTGTAAAAGCCCTTGCTGAGGCATCTCTTTGCAGAGTTTATACCAATTGCTAAGTATGTATGCATCTGTATTCTCAAAAATGCAAACCGGGTTTTGCCACAGTGAGAACATGGTGACAGGTGAGAAATTCTTTTAATTTTCCTTCCCATTATTACAAGCTCACAACCCCAAAGTTTCTCTACTGGCAGTTTCACTGTCCCTTTGCGTGGTCAGACCTTTGCATCATCTCTAGGGAGAAAAGATCTTCAAGAGCTTAAAAGATCACACTTCCTGGGATGAGCATACGAACCACACATCTTCCTAACCTCGGACTGCAGTGAATTTCCAAGGAAGAGAAAACTAATCAAAGAGACTGAATGCTCTTAGAGGGGGGCAGAAAGGGCGGGGGGGGGGGGGGAAATTATGCCCTCATCCCAAGCCACTTCTTTTGTTCGCACTTCACATCTCACCACTATTGGTGACCCCCAAAATGGCAGAGGAGCACCAGTTCAGAAAAGGCACTTATTTGTCTCAACTTTTTTTTTCTTTAAAAAAAGACAACGAATACATAAACATGCCTGCAAACTACAATTCATCGCGCATTTTGTCTCCTTTCGGTTTAACTAGCCTGCCAATGAAAAGGATGGAGTTGGTCTTATTGTCCTTGATGAGGAAAATGAAAGGATGGTCGACGTAGAAAAGCTTGGGGTTCCTGATTTCTTCGCGGCTGTAGAGATCCGTGTCGAAGGGGTTCCCTTCCGTGTCCAACTCCAGGGCCGCCGCATGGAAGACGTTGGAGAGATACAGGTCTTTCTTGCCAGAAATCTTCGAGAGGTCTGCTTTGTTTTTGTCCACGGCTTCGGTTAATCCGAGATCAGCCAAGTGTTTCTGAAGAGGAAGAGAGATCCACGTGTCCATGAAACTCTTCCTATTGGCTGGACTTCTATGACGTCACAGACGGTTCAAACAAATTCCTACTTTTCTTCATAAGACAAAACGTCTAGCTTCCATTTCTCTCTCTGAACTAGCTGACCTCAAAATACTAAGGGGGTTTTCACTGGGTCAGGCAGAGGCATCCGCAGGGGTGGTAGGTGTGTCAAAAAAGTCAAGACGGTAGCCATAAACATATGATCGAAACCCTGCCCCTTTTTACATGTTGTGGCTGCCATCTTGATTTTTTTTAACGTCCTCCTTGCAGAGACCCCCGGAGTCAGGATTTGGAGAGGTGTGGCCACCAGCAATCCCAGGGCCATCAGCCAGACTGGGAAGTAATAAAGACCATTCTGCAAAAACATTGCATCAAATCCCTTCTTGATGGTGCCCTCTCCTACCTTTTGACACAAACACCACCCAAAACCTACAGTGTAAATCCTGAAATAAGCTTAACCAGGGATTTGCAAGATTTGGGAACAAGGTTCTGGAGAACCCTGGGACATTGCATTCCCCCTCCAGGCCGTGCTGTTCTTGGGGAGGGGGGGACGTTTCTGGCCATTCTGGAAATAAACCCTCCCAACCAGAATCAGTTTGTGTCCTAAACAAGCCCCTCTGGATGAATCTGGCTTGTTTGGGGCTGGATCACCCCTGGGACACTGGGACTTGCTTCCGTTCTCAAATTAGTGAGTTGCACACCCTTAATTTTCCACATCCAGAGGAAACAGGTCTTAGCCCCACCTGCAGGGCATAAACCAGCCCTTGCTCACTCCAAAATGGCTAAGGGAGGATCTCAGCCACCAAGAGGAGTCCTAACTGGAAATTCAACTAGGCAATAAACCCAGAGATTTCTGTGTTCACGCAATGCACTCGACCGAGTGACTGAATTAACTCATTCAGCATTCGCACCATACCTTGAATCCCAGACTAGCCAGACAGGCTGGGTTTCACTGTCTGCACAACACACCACAAACCCAAGGTTAATTATAATCAAGCTTCGTGGTTGTGCAAATGAAGTCACAAGGCCTTTCGGTACCCTGGTGTAAGCACGTGTGGCAGGGCACTGCAGCCCCTGTGTGCAAACACCAGCCCTAACACTGGACAGCAGGGAGTTTATCATCGCTGCCTTAAGCGGTTTAGACAAAATGGGATTGCAACATTGTGAACCCAACGGGAAAAGGAGCCGGGCCCTGGCCCTTGGAACTGATTCCCGCCGGACAGTCCAGGGAGGCTCACCTGAAGGTCGTGGCTGACTTCCAGGCTGATCTTGGGCAGGGAGATGGCCACTGCCCGCTCCTTCATTTTGCCCATCCAAACCTGCAGCTGTTCGCGGGTGAGCAACTTCTCCAGCCGTTCCAGGGGCTCAACATGGTTCGGCATGATGATGATCAGGCTGGAGAGTTTGTGGGCCAGCGGCATCTCCACCATCTGCAGCTTCTCAGCCTCGTTCTCATAGTACTTGTACAACCCTGTAAAAACACATAAAGCTGGAATCAGTGGGCCTCTGGGGGCTGATTGGCAACCCTTAGTGTGCCCAGGTTCCACGCTCAGGGATTTCACAAGGACTTGGGCACTCGGCGCTCAGGGTGCAGCAATGAGATGAGCACCTGAAAATGTCAGTAGGGGCCGGAAAGCTGTTGTCTGACTTTTGAGCAGAGGAAAAGAGCGTATTTCTAGTCCACGAGGTCAGGTAAAGTGGGCCTGGAGGTTCCTGGAGGATATCTCAGAAGACAGACTGGCTGGAGATCAGGACACTCTTTTCTGGTTTCCGTTCTTGTCCTCTTCAGTGCAACAAATGAGTTCCCCCCATACCTGGCCCTACCGATGTATTTTCAAGCCCCACCACCCAGCATGGCGATTGCTCAAGCACCACTGGAAGGGACCATTTTGGAAAAGGTCAACATGAACGATGCGCAGTAAGCAAAACTTTTGCATTTTGGCATGGATGAATAATCCTCATTTAAGCCTGTGCAAAAGTCAGTTTCAGGAATGGAACATTCTGGGCAACTCCCAAATGTTCTGCTTCTCCTCTAGGCCGTGCCAAACCTGCTCCAGACTGGCTACTCTGGAGGGGTTGGCAGTTTTCCAGAATCTTCTGAACCAGAAGCGGATCAAGGTGATCTGGCCCCATTTCACCTGGAACACCATGTCCCAAAATAGTGAGTTTTGCTCATGGACAAACACCTTGGTTGCAACCTCTCCTCCATTACAGAGCAGGCTTTGGATCAATATGTTGCAGAATATGTATATGTATTTTTTAAAAAGGAAACAAGAGTCCTGCTGAGTTTATTGGTCACAGGTCTATAGCTCATCAGAGACAGAAGCTCTCGGAGTCAGCCTGTTTATGTTCCTCCCTTCAGCCTGACATGCACTCATGGTTAACAATTTACAGCTAGTCTGGTGTTATTTTGTGGAAAAACGCAAGGATTTCTTTCGACTCGTTTATGACCTCAAACGCTTATGGGTAAATCTGAGTGGGGACCCTGGAAGAAAGGAAACGAAGCAGAATCATGCATTTTTACCCCCTTACCTGTGCGGTGCATCATGGAAATGCCCACTGTGTAGGAACGGGACACCATGAAGCCACGATTGTCCACCATCTTGTGGTGGAACTTCTCATCCCAGTGCGCTAAACAAACCAAACAGAGCCATGAAGACTAATTAATAAAAACAAATGGCAATAATGGAAAACGTTTTCAAAACAGAGGCCTAGATGCATCGTTGAGGAACACCACGGCCTCCAACGAAGGAACCACCGTGGTAATTTATGATTGGCCACCAACTGGGAGCATCCATAGGAGGTTCAAACAAGAGAAGTTGTCAACCACAACCTCCATCTGGACCTTTTGATCCACCTGCAGATATCCCACCACCAATTCCCCAGCACGCACACCTCTAGCTCAAAGCTCCAAATCAACCTGCACTTACGTTTGAAGAACATGGCATTGATGATCAAGGCCCCGTCTGTCTTCTCCACATCTTTGGTGACCTCGGGCAGCTTGCCGTCCGTGGTCTGGGCAGCCCACTCGTTGATGGATTTCAGGGCGCTCCGCTTGTCTCGGAAGTTGATCTTGGAATGGTCATAGTTGTAATGCTTTTTGCTACTTTGCACAAAGTCGTCAGCGAAGCTGATGGAGCTTGGCCCGTAGAGGCGGCTGCCGAGTTTCCAGGTGACGTTCCGGGCCGTGGTGTTGCTGACGTCGCTCAGGAACTCCGAGAGTCCGGTGTGGATGTAATCGTCGTTCAGTTTGCTGGCGCTGAGCAGAGCCTTGGCTTGAGAGGCGGTGGTGGCCTTTCCCCCAAGAGATACCAGCCCCAGAGAAGATGCCACCACCACTGGAGACACCAAGATATTCTCCAAGTTCTTGTCCTTTGCCATCACATGGTAGAGGTTGAAGGCCAGGGTAGCGCTGTGGTCGGCCAAGGTGGTGGCCTTCTCGCTCAGCTTCTTTTCCTCCGAGGTTGGTTTCTTCTCACTTTTCTTCTTGTCATCAGAGGGCACTGCAGTTGCGAGAGCGCAAAGCGCTAGGAGATGGATCAACCACGTGGCTTCCATGGGAACCGAGACCAGTCAGAACCTGCGAGGAACCAAGATGGCTGGTCAAGACGGGCACCGGTTGTGTGTTAGAAAATACAAAATATACCAACACCAGCTGTGCTCAATCCAGAGCCCTCTAGATGTGTTGAGACCATCACTCCCATCATTCCCTGCCAAAATGGCCAAACCACTTCTCCTACCTTGGAGTTGGGCATTTTCAGCTAGACAGCTATCTGGCAAGGGGACAACAACCCCTTATGAAAGAGCAGTGTTTCTCAACTTTGGCCACTTTAAGATGTGTGGACTTCAAACCCCCCAAAATCCCCCACCCCCCTTGGGGAAATTGGGGGTTGAAGTA